GGGGGGGGTAGGAAACTTAGAACCACAAATAGACTATGAATACTTATATATCTTTAACTTAGCCTTTGAAGTAGTAATATAAAGAAGGACTTGTATAAGACTAGTCACTAAAAGTATCTAGCGGCCGGAAAACATATTGCACATACTTGTAATTTATATACAGTCAGATGATAGCACCCGGAACCCACGTTGTCTCACTCTTTATTATATAGTAAAGGCTCGAGTAGAAGATCTTGAGTAAATAGCTGGTGAATCGATTTAATCTTGTGTAAGGCGCAACCTATATTGAATTTGACGGCCATCGCATATGACACGTTTCGCAGAATGGTGGTGGTATCCGATCTACTTCTCTCCGACGCAATACTAAATGCGTGGCAAGGATTGATAAAAGCGAGGGAGTTCCTATATCGACGTGAGTTACTCCGTCCTTTGTCTCGACTATTTCCCACCCCTTCCCTTGTATAGAGTCGATCTGCTCAATCACAGCATCCCTACGTCCAGCACAGTTCCAGAGCACCATTACGCCCCCTGAAAACTCTTGTCGTAGTCCCTCTGTATAGTTTGGTAGTGCCATAGAGGGTACGGATATACCAAGCTTAACATCCACACCTGGAACCCCAGCCTGTAGAATTAGCTCTAGAGTTAATCGAGATACACCTAAACCAAGAAGACGGAAACAAGCTTGCATAGCAGGATCGAAATATTGAAGTGGACGAGAAAGAAATTCGGTCCGCGGTATAAGACGAGCAAATGGGAGATCCGGGATAGGCGGAGTATGGCCAGGAGGAAGCGTAGGTCGAGCGCGTGGGACCAGTGAGGATGGCTGGGATAGTGGAGGATAAGCAGAGGTGTGAACAGGATTTAACGCGGTTACCCAGCTGCGGTGTGTGCTTATACGCACTCCATATCGGTCTTGATAAACTTTCTTGTAATGATCGGCAATTGCCACAGACACCTTCCGTAGACAATCTCGGTTATAGTCTCCGATATCCTTTAAAAACGTGTAAAGTGGATTCCAAACCTCGTTTCCGTCAAAATGGAAGGTGTTCATTTCGTAGAAGGTAACGGTAGCTTCGGAAGAGACTAGTGGTGACTGGCACCGAAGAAGACTGAGAGTTATCTCATCGAGAATTGGATCTCTGCCCTCTATTGTATATTTCTGAGATACGATCTTCTGCTTGGTCTCCGTGGTATACTGCACGCGGCCGGGATCGTCAATGGTCACAGAAGAAACTGTAATTGGCCGCGATGCAACAAGGGTATCGTAGTAGATTTGGTTGCGGACCTCGCGTGGAAGATCGAGAAATGTTAAGCTTGGGTGGATAGCCAGGCCGAGGGGTTCTCCCTTTCGCCAGCTAATCCGGCAAACCGTCCTGGGCATGATGCCGATGATGTTAATGACAAGCGGAGGTGTAGAATGTTGAGAGCTGGAACGTGGTTACTTGAGGCCGGGAACAAAAGACGTTGGGTAGAACTGGGAACGATTGGAGGGCAGTTTAGAATTGCAGATAAGACTGGACGATAAAGGGCATCATCTTTATGTGATGGATATCTGTGATACTTAAACGTGCTGAGCTGAAAAGGGACGGAGGCAGTGTTGGTTATGAGAGGCTAAGCTTCATTAGCGAGGCAGGAAGGAATCCTGGAGAGGCTTAGTCACACTAGTTTCAGGGCTACACAGAGAACATACCAGTCTTTATGGTACAGCGTTCGACATGAATTTGGTCACATATCGTCACTCTTGCTCCACTGTTTGGGCATTTGAGAAGCTGAAGCCTCAAGCCCGACAGCTCTTGGGGCTGATTTCATTTCTTGTCGGTTGTCCAGCATGCCCAATGCACAGCCTGCCTCGACTAGAAGAACGGTAACCCAGGCGATCGAGTATGTGTTAATGTTGAGTATATCGCCCATTGTGATAACTTCATGCTCGCTCGTATACTGCCTCTGTGGGCACCTATATTCATGGGACTAAGAGTACTTGCAGGTGAGGTTTATGCCCCTAGCCCATACTCGCTAGTCCTCTGCGTGAATCCAAGATAACTGTACCTTGCAAAAACGAAAGAGGAGGGCATATTGTCAAGGCTGAGATACCTAACCATGACGTGGTACAGGCGGTTGCAGAAGCTAATCGGTTTGAGAAGGAGATAGAGTAACTGAGAAATTTGTATCTCGTGTGAAAGGACCCGTTCTCATCCCTCGTAGGTTGTTCTCACATCAACGAGGGAGGTTTCTATTTTTTGTGATACCATGCATCCAAGGAGAGAGAGATCACAACAACTGTCATACCAGTCATCGAGGGAAATATCGGCGATAGTAAATGCGTCGCCGGCGAGATCCCATTCACGAACCTAGACTACTTAACTGATGGTACTCTCGTACCTGGAAATCCTGATCTGTACTATGGTGCACGACCCAAGCAGGCCGCAGAGAGCTTGAGCGTCGGATTGTCCCATCTACCCAGCATGCCCTCCCTATTGCTCCAAATTTCTTTCTCCAAGTTAAAGGCCACGACGGATCTTTAGCAGTTGCATCCCGATGGTGCCTTAGGCGCGCGAGCTATTCATAGCCTGCTGTCATTTGGGGAGTCAGAGCCGCGATACGACAATAACGCTTATACCATAACATCAATATATCACGGGGGGACGCTCAAGATATACACAAGTCATCCAATATCACCTTCAGCACCTGGGGCACAACCCGGATATGTCATGACGCAAATCAAAACGTGGGCCTTGACTGGCGACGCCGATACTTTTCGGAAAGGAGCTGCTGCACACCGGAATGGTAGGGACTGGGCGAAGCGACAAAGAGACGACGCGATCAAGCATGCCCAGAATGCAGCACGTCATACGGCAGTTGCATCGTCACTGGAGGATAGCTCAGGGCTGAGCTTTACAAGCGAAGGGTCGGCTGCCGAAACAATTGCCAATAGTCAAAAGACCATCCTAAACCTCGATGACAACTTGCCATTGTCATACGAGTCCGACACGTCCGCAGATGAACTATCGGAGGAATTTCATAATCTCAAACGCCCTAGGTCACACTCTCCACGGAAGAAGCAGTAATGGTAAACGACCAGGGCGCTTCGTCTTAACCCCTTGAATAAGCTCGCAACGAAACTGTTCCTGCGAATCCTGGTCTGGAGTCGCGTGAGCAAGATATGAGACATATATTGATCATTGAGGAACCCGAGGACGACAGTCTCGCCAGAGGGAGAGTGAGGTATATGGCAATTGAATAACACATATGCTTGGTACCTTCACTAGCTGGACGACGGCTCCATTCGTCCGGATCAGTCAGAGAACTTTTCCAAGCTATCCGTGACACTATCGCAGCCCACAAGTCCCTCTCGGGGACGATGTTCAATTGAGACACCTCTGAGAACAACAACATCATTACCACACCTTCCGCCGAAGGAGAACCGAAGAAGGAGTTGGACAGCGTCCCCAGCGGAGCTAGTCCGGACGGGAATCTTGCAGTTCATGGCGATCGGGGTGCCTCCAGGGGCGCACTTATCAGCACGATCTTAATTTTACATGGATAAGTTGATGGTCACGAAAATGCGAACGGCGTACCAGAAGCAGATGGACTGGCTGGATCGAAATCTCGCGGAAGAAAGAAGAGGCCGAGGAAGGCAAGCATACTTCGAGGTTAGTGGAAACCATGTAGAAAGTGCCAACACCAAGCGCTGTCACATAGTTAGGTTTGAGGACAAAACAAGTGAGGAAGAGCCAACCCGTGGTCATTAATGACAGATTTGTCGGATCCACTCGACAGTAGAATACGGCAGATTTGATCATCCATGGCCCACTGGTCGCTGAGATATACAGCAAGTGGCGTGTTTCCGTCGCAATCTCGCCCCTGAACGTTAACCCCTACTAGCTAGGGTTGGTGCTAAGGCACATCCAATCGTGAATCCGCAGAATGCTAAATTCGCACAGTTGTAAATGATACGACGACCAACTACCTCCGACATAGGGCCCATGAATACGGGTCTTACGCTGGTGCCCAGGAGCTAAAGGATTGATTAGATATTAGCAAGACGTTGGAAGGTTTTCGGATTCCTCTTCAAGGGACAAACCTCGATCGTAACTGCTAAGATGACAAGTTCCTGATTATTTGAGCCGAACTCTTTCAACACGAGGGGAATGGCCGGGGCAATAGCTACAGCGGCTATATTCTAGAGCAAGGAAAAGGCTGGGTTAGCGTCAGCGCGACTAAGGAAAATCCTAGGTAGGCCCACGTCGAGAAAACAACAGAGGTAATCATGCCGACGAGCATCGCTCGTCTCCAGGCAGGCCAATTGCGCGGATTATGAGGATCGTCGGGCGCATCCCAATCCACCTCATTCGGGTTGGGAACATTTTGACCGCCCGTGGAAGAGGGCAGGCTTTGTTCGACATCGGGTGCCTTCTTCAGCTCGCCCGTAGCATCCTCATTCGCCTGAGGTGGTAGTGAGGCAGCCTGAGACTAAGTACCGCTAGTAATCGCCTACAGCTCAAAAAAATAAAATGGAATCATTGTAGGACATTGGCAAATACCTGATCCTCGCTATTCTCTTCGTTTCTCTTCTCGTTAGACATTGTGTGTGTCTTGTTAGTGAAGGGAATAGCAAAATTGATATTCTTGACTGAAAGCAAGGAAGGAAGAGGTCAAAGGTATGCGCAGGTCGTAACTAAAGTGTAACTTAGTGTATTAAAGGGGGCAACTAAAAACTGCCGACTATCCTACTATTAACGGGCCCTTATATAGCCGAGACCCCGCCTCAAATCCGGTCCCGCCCCAAACCCGGCCCTGAAAAATTAAAAACTTTTGCCCCACCACACCACAAAAACCATGGGTAGATGCGACAAATCAGCTCGAATTGCAAAGGCACTTGCTGCATTCGAATCAGGAAGGTTCAAAAATTATACTGCAGCAACTAATTTCTTTAATGCGATCCAACTAGTGTATCTAAGAAGATTTGGGGTATCACACACTCGCGTGAAGAGGTCAACTCCCTATATCGACAATGTCTCACCTCCACACAGGAACAGGTGTTGATTAATTATATAAAAACTCTAACTAATAAGGGTATGCCTCCCACTAGTTAGATTGGAAAGAACTTGGCCGAAGAGATTAGGGGTAGGGAGGTAGGGAAGAATTGGGTGGGTTAATTTGTGAAGCGTTATGGCCACCTTTTTTTGCACAGTGCGTATTTACGCAATATTAACAACCTTCGAGTATACGATATTCCGTCCCGCGTTACGTGGCATCCTAGCTGTATACAGTATGTCCCCAAAAGTCTACGTGCAACCGAATTACCCCATATTTTTAGGGTAATTGAACTCAACTAAATCAATTATAAATCAACCAACTAATACTCTAATACATTAAAATTAATATAAATCGAATCCCTGGCTTAATCTCTTTCATTCCACCATATTAGTACTTTGTATACTACCCTTTCGCAGCCTTAAGAGCGTCAATTCTCTTTTGCATCCTTAAAGCAAGTGTATTTAATAGGTCATCTTCTAGCAGCTCCTATGCCTCTTTCGTAGCCTGAATTAAGAGCACTTTAGTCGTATCATTATCTTTCATGGTAACTAGCTCTAGATAAGATTAATTATCTTCGCTTTAAGCATTTTCTATAAGTTCTCGATCAGGTTTATGTCCGGTGAATAAGGGGGCCAATCTAATACATTAATGTCCCTTTAAGTAAACCATTCCTGTACCATAATCGCTATATGTACCCTAGAGTTGTCTTACATATATAACGAATCGTTTTTAAAGACCGAGGATAGGTGTTCTTCGGGTACTTTGATATATCGACGCGCTGTAACCCCCCCTCGTGCAAAGGCTGTATCCCCTTTTATTTAGACTAATTGTATACGCTTCCTATAGCTAAATGTAGCCTAAAATTACAAGGACTTCGAGGATTGGAATCCGGATACGGAGACGGCCGATACTTCTTGGCTCAGATGAAGGTGGAATGGAGAACTACAGCATGCAGTTGTTCACAAAGGCGGGATGGACTGAGACAGGGGTCCATGCGATGCTTGGGCAGGTGCGGGGTGAAATAACGGATCCAAAGGTGCATAGCTTTACGCGGGCGTGGTTCATTACTGGGAGGAAAGCAGAGGAGGCACCCTAATAGAATTGCGAGAATTTCAACGAAAATCGGTATTTCTCTTTTTGTAACTTTCCTATACTGTACCTAGTGTAGTCCATGTTATCTACGTAGTTTTTTCCTTCAAAATTTCTATACAAGTTAATTGGTGATGCAAAGGGTATCTTGTTTCCGACTGTCAGCTTATTTAAATTTCCATTTTCTATAACTTAATGACATTTCCATGCGCTGAAACTTGCTCTCTGAATTTCATGTAAGGAAAATACATATGTCCTATGCCTTGTGACGCACTAGATTACATGGATGAGAACTCGTTGTTGCAAGAGTTCACAATTTTAGGCTCGGCTCGACTTGCTGTATTGGCAACGCTTTTCTATAGCTACACTCGTGTCTAGCTTAGCATTCAAACATGCAAAACTTAAGGGAGCCATGTGGGAGCTCCTTTGGAGTTGCAACAGAAGGATAAAGAACTTGTAAGACAGCTCATATATAACTGAGCTAACGTAAAAGGTATGTCGACAAAGATTTCTCGTGACGAAATCTGCCAAGCACAAAGATGTTCTAGTATTCGCAGTTTGTCGCAGCGCCGAAGTCTTGCTTCACCCACTTAGGCCAGAATATATCTAGAATAGCACGCCGCATCAAGCCTCTGATGTGGCACACTGTTGAAGTATCCCTTCCTTTCCATTTTGTAGATTTAACTCGGGCCTTACTCTAGCCGGTTTACTCTCGTTGTCTTCATGCGCTTGGATGATTGCGCAAGTGAACAGATTAGTTTATTTCCACCCTCCTTTCTTTTCAATTTTGTTTCATTCTATTTAGTTAATAATCGTACCTGCTTTATTTCTATATCCGGCCTTTCACATCAATGAAACTTATGCCCCGTTCCATAACGATCCTCGAACTTTGCAACATCCTTGGTCTCTTTCTCATCTCCTTGCGCACTCTTACGGCTAGACCTCGCCGCAGCTTGCAGGGCCTTCTGGAGGGATGCATCTGACATCTGTCCTCCGAGTTGCGTCGCCCTCTCTCCTGCTTTGACCCGTCTAGCCGTAAGGAGATCGCCAAAAGTAGCGACAACCACTTGGAAGGCGTCTGACGCCGCGGACATATCTTCAACGATGTTCATCCTGGCCTCTTCCACCCTTTCAGCAGCCCTTGCTGTAAGGGTTGGTTGATGAAGACCATGAGCGGCGCAAATGTCTTCGAAGATCTTGAATCAAGCCTGATCCAAATCTCCGAAGATTTTGGCGCAGATGGCCAAGAACTCCTTGGTCGTTTTCATTCCTCCTATGGGCGCTCTCTTTCAAGGCACCATCGTCCGACAGGCTTGCCCCCGACGCTGTGAGAGTGGGCAATTTACCACCTTTCTCCTGGGAATATTTATTCAGATTCACTGCCGTCTTGATGATAATATATTTATTGTGGCCACATGCGGATAAGTGCTCGTTACCGTGTATCATCTTCCGCAACAGTATCAGCTAAATATAACCTTTCCGCGACCACTTAACGTTGATAAAATCGTATCCAAGATTCAGTCCCCAATGTGCATTACTATAGGTTGACCTCGACAGAGTCGATTATGGTTTTCTCTTGATGGTGTGATTCTTTAAAGCGACGATAGATAGCTTCCTCATGTTCATCTTCAAGCACAGTGTTGTCGCCAAAAACTTCTGCAATATCTTCAAGGGACCTTCCTTTTGTCTGGCAGTTTATGTTAGCTTGATTCCACACTACCGATAGGAAGGAGTATCTTTTACCTCTGGAAAATATAACCATATAGTTACCATCATTATTGTCGTTATACACACAAACAAAAGATAATACTTCCAACCTGTCTGAGCAAAGGCGATAGGGGCAACCTGCAGAAAAACGATTGTAGACATTAAAATACTAGTCATCAAGATTCCGACCCCACGGGCACGTACTGGTGTAGGAAATATCTCTGATAAGTAGATATAAGACGTTGCATCAAGCGATACTGAGAACAATGCGATGTGAAGGAATAGGAAGAACACAGCCACCGACACGACGGAACGCGAGCCAGTCCGTTGAAATATTGATACCGTGATATATTCACCAATGAGAGCTAGTAGATCGCGGGTTAAACCAAATACCGAGATGGTTAGTCGTGCTTTAGGCCATTGGCAAAGGTTAGCTATCTTACTCAATAAGTTTTTTTGTCCTATTGTATCCACGATAAAAGCATTGACCACGTTGCTAGGTCCGCAAATAGAGATCTATGCCGACTGGATAATCAACTGCTGTACCGTGTCATAGCCTAGCCTAGCGTAGAGTAGTGGCCCATAATCTGGAATAGGTGGTCAGGATGGAATTCCGGGGATATAGAGGACTTACTATTGATAACGAGGGTTCCCGTGCATTTCAAAGCGGCCATGTTTAGTTGTGTGGTTCTGGGATTGACTGGGGGACGAGCACTACGAAAGGAGAAAGCGCCATCCAGATCATGCAGTTCGGTAGGGAGGTTCAGAAAGAGCGTGAACGTAGCTGGTGAGCTATCTGGAGCTATTGTACATGCTCGAATATTCAGTGTTAAGAACCAAGAGCGCAGGGTAAGCATGGCAAACCTCCCACAAAGTATAACGGGTTCAGGCGGATATATATATGGCCGTTTTCACCTTTCGACATTGCAGCAAGTTTTTTGTAACAGCACAAATCCGGTGGGAGCAAAAGAAAGCGACAGCTTTAAAACCATGTGGGATTTCATCGGCATATATCTAGCGGCAGAAGTCTATCAGATTTAGTGGGAAATGCAACTTCAGCTTCATCTCCGCTCCATTGCTACGTAAAGACACATTACTCCATGACAACGCGAACTATCCCCTGCTAATTCAAAGCAGCATCCGAGGGAGCATGATCTTTCCCACGTGCCAACCTCTGACTGCGGCTTAGGACCCATTAGCATCTTAGAGGTCTGACAATAAAGGAGAAATAGCCAGCTTCCTGTGAACAAAAACAGTATGGCTGTGGGACAATCAAACAGGCATACTGCTTCAAGCGCTCCAAGGCTATACTAGCAGCTTTGAACGATAGGACATTATGGCTCTGGGACACATGGCTCTGGGACACCATTACAGGTGACATATCAAAAGCGATCACCATGTTGTCCTTCTGCATGCCTCAAGAACTGCGTGGCCGTGCCCAAGAAGGCCGTGCATCCTTCGTAGGGACAGTCAAAGCCCTCGTCGATAGCTCGTTCAGTTAGATGCTGGCCTCGGATATGCCTCTTCCAACTGTCCCGGCGAGAATATTTGTGTTCCCCTTTGCGCGGCCCTGCTTCAACATCACACTTGCAAAAAGGGCAACACAACTCGACTGATGTATCCTGGATAGTATCGTCCATTAGAGTGATGTCTGTAGACGGATCTTCCTTATCTATAACAAAATCGTGGACCTTTAGACGCTTGCACGGCTTGTCGAAGTTATTTACCTCTCGCAGGCGCTTACTTGACCTAGAAGCCTTAAACTGGTGTGGGGTTTCTTGCCGCCTACAGAGCTGTACTAGGGCGTCGACAAGTTGAATCCGTACCTGCGACACCTTTTCCAGGCTCATATCATCGAAAGGTTGGAAGAGTAGTCGTGTAACCGCCCCTCGCTCCTTAAGCTCGTACTTGATAGTAGCTGGATTGAGTACCTCGGCTGACGGCAGGATGCCTCGCTTTTGTCGCTCCACCTTAGCCGAGTGGACGGTTTCGTGGAACTTGTTAATGGTTTTATTAAGTAGCTTGCGGCGTAGCTTAGTCTTAAGACTGTTGATGTCGCTTTGTACCTCAGTATGTAGTGTGTAGTACTCCGTGCCTTTGGCTGCCTTGATAGTAGGATAGCCGTTCTCCTTGATCGTCGCAGCGTACTCCCTACGCTCCTTGAGAAGACTAACCATCTCTGGATCATCCCAGATCTCGTCTTCTTGGGCATCGGTCAGTTTGTCCGGCGCCTCCTCGTGGCGTTTAAGCTGGCCGACTGCTCGTATAAGATCATCGTGCTGCGGCGTACTGAGGTAGATAGCGAGAGTGTCACGGTCGATGAAGTTCGGCATGTAGTATCGCTCGTAGACGTCCCCATGGTTGCCCATAACCTGTCTGCGCTCTTCGGGAGTCAAGGCCTCTGCCGTAGACAACTGTTAGCAGGTCTATTATATCAGGTATGCCGACGTGCCGCAATAGAGTTAAGGACAAGCGACTGGAAATATACCATTTAATTTCTTGCCTGAAGCACGCCGCCAGTCGTACCACTGCAACCTCTTTCGATACCCACAAGTCCGGCCAAGACGGACAAAGTAGTGCCGGTGCTTCTGATAGCTAAGCGATTGCGTCTTGGATATGCGTACCCTGCAACCAGGAGTTTGCTTCTTTGGGACTAGCGGCTTGTGAGACTGGCGTTGTATGGAACCTTGCCTAGCTGGGGTCTTCTTCACGGTACCCTCGAAGACTAGGTTTTGCACACAATTGCTGGCATCTTGAGTAATGGATTGTGTCTTGGATAAGCGGAACTCATTGCCTGGAGTCTTCTCGACGTCGCGAAAGACAGGTCGCTCTGCCCACTCCTTGTCCTACTTTAGGCGGATACGATCTGTGGTGCATGGGACTACAAGATCATAAATCTGCGCAAGGGACGTAAACTTGTTCTCGAAGGCATTATCGGCTAATGCTAGGGCCATTAGAAAGAGGACCGGGCAGCAGACAAGGTTTTTGCCTTCATAGAACGCAAACTTCTTTCTGCTTGTATTTAGTGGCTATCACAGGTAATGAGGCGGACATAAAGGGAGCACTCACGGCTTCTTCTTCCCACCTGACCGCTTGATATGCTTGAGGTTAATCACGAGGACAACGAGCGGCGGCAGTCCTACAATTAGAGGAGGGAATACTTGGAACTTAATGTGCTTGTACAAGAACGGCCTCTTCCTAACTAGAGCCGCTGGACGCGTGGCCGTGCCAGCCGCAAGAATATTCACAGGAGATGTTTGTACTCGCAGCCGCTCGTGCGGAAAGACCTCTGTATCGCGCACCTAGTAGCCGTTCTAGAGGGCACACAGATCTTTTACAAAAAGGGCTCCTTTTTCCCGATCTGAGTTGTTAAGCTCGAGTTCGGGCAGCTACTACAAGAAGTTAGGGAGACTATGTGTAGTAATTGGGAGTGGCTATGAACGTTACGGATGTCTAGCAAGACATTTTCGGACATGTAGCGCTTGGCAGTGTGTTGGTAGGCCATACTCAAGTAACACTATCGCGTGTACATGCTCTACTGCCTCGTGATATTTGAGTTTTTTTTCTACTACTCGAGGTACGTCTTAAAGTCGCTTGGCTTGGCAATTTTTAAGAAGTCTGCCGGGTCTTTGATCCTTGGATCTTTTTTTCGCGATTTATCGTAGTACCTAGACTCGATCAGCATAATCAATCCTTTGACAATAGGAGAGACTTACAGCGCCTACTGTTCCTCCTCTGCTAGCATCATCGCCTTGGTAGCGTCGCACAGGTTCGACAGAGCAGGCCTAGCAGCCTCGTGTTGCGCCCGTCTTTGCTTGAGATACTCTGCCTTAGCATCGCTTGAGTCAGAATTGTAGCCTGAATCATGCATGTGCTGGCCGTTAGAACCAGAATCAAAGTCAGAGCTGGAGCCCTTATTATCAGATATCCTAGCAGATCTTCGCCTCCGTTTCCTCTTCTTAGCCCGCGGTGGACGCGAATACTCATGGCTAGGCGAGTCTAGAGGGGGTGATCAAGCCCAACGTTCCCTAAGAGCTTGGCGCTGAGCATGACGCCGAGGCAATGCCGGTGTTGGATGGTCCATACAGTTGTGGATGAGGAGTCTTCTGATGCTAAGTTATCCGAGTGCTGCTTATTGTAACCGAGATGGGAGGGGAAATCACAACGATAGGGCCGAGTGGCTGTTCAGTATATTGTTGTCGTCAGAGATTGCCGATTGAGTCGAATCCTATCCTATACATTATGATACACCTTATACCAGTGGGTACCCTCTGGTACTTTGAGGCTAGGGTACTGGCTTGTGAGAAGACGTAGAATCCTCTCACTATGATTTACCAATAAAGCAAGACGAGCTTCTTTAGGGATCGGCTTGCCGATTAAAATGAATGAAAAGGGGAGTGAAAATCTAATAATTTTTTTGAGAAAGGGTATTTGATAAGGTAAAGCGGAAGGCAGAGGTGGTGAGCATAAGGAGAGGGCAGGGAGAGGGGTGAAGTGTATAGTGGGGAGAGACGGGGAGGAAAAAGTGAGGAGGAAGTTTGGAGACAAGGCGCAGACGGAAGAAGGGGATTAGATACATCTCGCAGACCACTCGGCCTCGTGGGCGACAAACCTCCCTTGTCGAGACCCTCAGATTCGTAACCCTCATTTAACAAGGGGGTTAATAGTATCGTCCACCACAGAATATGGATGGCGAGTCTGGACTCTCACGAGGCTGTGGAAAGCGATCGTTAAAGCGGCCAGGGTTTGTGCGCTAATCTTTGGTAGCCTCAGGTTTCAATGCTAAGAGAGGGAGCCATTGCGTAAAGCAGCAAAGCCCCCTCCCCCAAAACCCACAGCCAAATCACCGACATCTCACTTAACGGGGGTGTTATGGTATCGTCCGCCACGGAATACGAGTGGCTAGTCGTAGAAAAAGGGTTGTCAAAGCGGCATGGCTTCACGATTTCAATCTAGGCATAGGAATCGCGGGTTGCAGTTGTTGTGGACCTTCGACCTCTGTGTTGGGATCGGCTCTTCGTGTCAACGCTGAGCCGCTTGGAGGCCAGGTACTTACATCTTGGCAGATTCGGCGTCTTCCCCGAGGAAGCCCTCCTAGTTTGGCATCTCACTATGTGGACACTTCAGCCTAGATGACCGGGAGGGGTGAGTAACCTACCTCTTATTCTGGATGGGCCAGCCTAAGGCTGTTGCCCGCCCATCACGCCCCACGAATAGCCCTTGCCGTTCCTCCCGCAGTGATGCTCCAAGTCTTCTTCTACAAATTGCGTGTCCCATGTATTCTTTCTCCCATTTGTGAATGCCTCTACCTGCTAACATGGGACACAGCGCAGGTGCGGGGCAGGAAAATTCCCGAGAAACAAAGCCATTACCCCTTTCTACAGACTACAAATACCAGAATATTTCATCCCCAGAAAGCGGCGCTCTTCTCAGCCCCATGCAGTCGGTGATGGACGAAGGTTCTGTAAACATCTCTACCGAGGTATCAGACCGCGTCAGGACAATGGAAATGAAGATAGATACGGCTTTGGGAACGTCGATCATACCTTTGCCTTGCGTCATTATTACGCGCCATATGACCGAGGGCGCCTCAACCTCCAACAGTGCAGACCCCATGACGCGATCTTGTCTTGCAGACAGAGCCAGCGATGAGGAGGCAGATAAGAATTTTCGACCTGAAACATCCTTAACTGAAAGCATTGATAAAAATGCGAGGAGTGATGCTGAGACATCGGCGACGGCTACGGAACCTCTTGACCAAGATGTTGAGGTTTCGGCCTCAAAAGATGGAAAGGCTGCCCGTATTGAGACAGGTAGTGGCGAGCACAATGGAATGATACAACAGTTCCACGAACGAGCTTCCTCATCTGACCATGAATACACCATTGAGCAGTTCCTAGGAGATGATGAAGGTGCTCAGACACACAATGTGCCTCAAGACGATCTGCGCAGCCCAGGTCGGGACAGAGATATTAGTGTCGATGTAGCAACTGAAACAAGTTCAGAAACCTCCGGCCATTCAGACTATGAAATCGAGGCTGCCCCAGAATACTATTGTGTCGTCCGAAATGGCCGCAAAAACCACTATATAATGCGCCATGACAAAAGTGTACCATAGTGGAAGAACCTCACTTCTCTACCAGACTTGGAATATCGTGGGGTGAGGTACAAAGTTGGAGACGTCGTATACATTTTGCTCTAGGACGATACTGAAGATTCTTTTGCCAAGATACGTGAGATCCGAAATCTTGCCGATGGCCGGAAGGTCATCAGCGTCCTATGGTATTTCACGATCAAAGATGCCAAATCCTACGGTTGCACAACTTTGAAGAGATGGCCTAAGGGCAAGTCGCACATCCTGACAACTATGCTGCAAGTTCTCATGTGGGACACAATTAATGGCATGGTCGATGAAAATGTCTTGAACCGGTTGGCATCAGGTATAATACTTGATGTGAGCGCGAAGACTTGTAAAGTAGTAGAAAGTGATGCGAAAGTGGTTACTTGGCTTAAAGAACCAGCCCTGGTGTGCGGGAGCTGCGGAAAATGTCATATCATTTGACAAAAGAACACGTAATGTGGTGGAGCTATTCATAGGGTGATGTACTAGGGGTCTTTTCACACGTTAGTTTTCAAGAGGTTATTTAGTTATCTATTCTTTAGACTATGGTCTGACTTATTGCACAGAACGAATCGAGTGCGACTATGTTCTACCTACGGGACAATGAATATCACGAATTTTCACATAGTTCTTCTTTAATTTGTCCGTCAATTAAGGTATAAAGTTAGCTTAATGGTCGTCCATGTCCAGACACTGGTCAGGCTTGATACAGCACGTGATACGATGACTCCGTCGTTTAATCGTTTAATCGTTTAATCGTTTAATCGTTTAATCGTTTAATCGTTTAATCGTTTAATCGTTTAATCGTTTAATCGTTTAATCGTTTAATCGTTTAATCGTTTAATCGTTTAATCGTTTAATCGTTTAATCGTTTAATCGTTTAATCGTTTAATCGTTTAATCGTTCAAGTGAATCTCAAATGGCCCAGAAGCACAGTTTCCCTTTATAAGATTTGCCTAAGAATACCAAGAAGGGTTGAACTATACTATATTTTCAGGCCAAGCGAACTTGTTGTGCTTCTTAGGAATCAGAACTCAGACTGTTGGGAAAAATTGACCATTTGACTGATCAACAAGCGTGCCAGGAATCGTTACCTGAGGCACCGACATAAAATAAGGGTTGTTTATCTACAGACGCGACCCGAAAAGACTTCTCAATAGTTTTGTCACCCAAATCCCCTCTGATAAAGATGGGTCGAGACTGCGATACCACTATATTTTTGGGATGTGAATGTGAGAGTCACAGAGCACTCTACAGCAACTGGCCACAGCAGAATGCTGAATTGAGGATTGCTTCTTGTATGAGGACTTGCCCTCACTGCGGCGATAGCAAGACATCCCCTAGCAACCTACGAGTCCATCTTAGAGGTGCACGCTACAAAGCACGGAACTTGATTATTATGTAAGAGAGGCATGGTGGTGGAACAACGAAGTAAGCCGCTCGCTAAATCACCTGCCATCGGAGCACCAGTGGACTGACTATGGTGTGCAGACATCCATCTTGGAAGGCGTCGTATGTCAGAATATGCAACTACGAGCAGGAAATTGCTAATGGATTGAAGGCCGCCTCTTAGGAGTGACGTCCTTGACTCCATCGCGGAGTGCGACCCATATAATCTCAGTACAGTTTGTTTCCTCTACAGAATTCCTTTTGCTTATTCCCCTCAGATCGATATGCTCGATAACAGTACTCTTGCAGAGATAAGAGCATATTTATTACAGTCACAAGGATTTGACTTACGTCTTGCCCAGCCGTTACAAAGTGCACCTTTCCACGAACTGGACAGCATGTCAACGGAAATACAGAAAACATGGACTGAATCTACAACATCCCCCCCTCTGAGATTGTCTGCTCAAAGGTGTTGGCGATCCCGGGTCCCAACTTTTCAAGAGCTCTGGCTTGCAACCTCACGGATGCCTAGGAAGGGTATGTGTACTGCTTCATTATCCTATATCCTAGTTAAGAAAATGAGATATTAGAGTTTTCGAACGAGGCCAAGCGGGTGGCGAACAGACGATACGTGCTGGAAGACCACGCAGGGGATGAGCCCGTGTGGGTGATGGGCATCACGGCGCAGAGAGGGTGTGGCCCCATACGATAGCTGCTGGAAGACCGCGCGCAGGCGATGCGCCCGTAGTAGGTGATGGAGGGTGATGACCCATACAACAGAAGTGGCAGCGAGTCAGCTAATTCTCTACAGTCATATGCAGTCGGAGACAAGGTAGCAACACGTCTAAAGACACGCGAGTAAGGGCCTTTCCCGGGTGAAAGACGTTATCAACACGCTAATGCGTTGCAGGAGGAGCTTGCTTCTGTCGGCAGTGACTGATGATATCTTCAATGCCAGTGAGAACGTCCTGTTACCACAAACGAGATCGCGAGGTACCTTCGCCTCGCCGTGTCTAGTGTAAAGATTTCTCGGACTTAGACAAGACAACATAGATGGCAAGGATTATGCCAAGTTTGAGACCTACTGTGGTGTCTGCCCTTCGAGCAATGCTCACGAGTATAGTAGTCACTTGCTAAAGTGCTATTTAGGCGGATGTAGCTCTTTTAATCTTGTAAGGTCTAAAATTTAATAATCGAAGAAATGTCTATAGCTACACTTTCGGGATCTTTCTAGTAACTGCTATGCTCACATCTTTTGCTCTTCTCCTCGCTGTATAGCCTGCTTTAGTGTGCTCTAGCCGCCTACACTTCGCCGCGGTACCGAGCCTTATCTCGCCTAACGCAAGTGCTAATTACTACGGGTAGTCTCGCTTTGTCTGCCTCTAAGGATTACTATAAGTCATCAAACTTTCTCTTTGTAGTAGAACGATACAGGCGGTCTTGGCTTAGTAGTAGCCTCGATCCCTCTTTCTACTATAGAAGACAGCCGTAATTATCTGCTCGGCATAGCGTAGACTGTAGCACATTAAGCATACTACACAGTGTACTTGTAGTTATCGGATGGCTGCTCTTTAGCCGCTGGTTCGATGTCTAGATTGTTACATCGTGAAAGCCAATAGACCGAATAGTTTTCTTATTTGTTTTAAGAAAAGTAGTTAGTGTCGTATTAGAAGCCTCTATTCCACACATGTCAAGCTGATAAAGATCTAGTGCGTAGTGGGACAGCAGTTTCAGAACAAACTTGGACCCACTCAGACGTAGGACCTTAATGTGCTCCAGTAGGTGTCTTAGAGACGCCGACAAAGTGCTCAGATCAGGTATATCCCATGGACAGTAATATGGAAGTTCGAAAGCCTACAAGCTGATGGTATGAATGGCAACACCTCTAGTTCTGGCCCTCCGAATCGCGCTCGCGACGACGTAGAGATGGTGTTGGTAAAACTCGTCGCTGATCATGTCTGGGGTTAAGGACTGAAGCAGCCAGCCGCAATCTTCTAACACCCCGCCGAAGTACAATCTTACCTCCTTTAACTAAGGTAGTGCCTCAAGGACAGATAATAGAACTAGGTCAGCACCCTTATTAACAATGTTATGCTGCTCGCGACAAATTTCGTGTACGGTATTGTATATGGCCATATATGAAGGGCATTCATCTTCTTCGCACTCTGCATCGTACAGATCTTTCGCCAGATCCACGTAGCTGTCAGGAGTCAGGACGTCGGACTTGAAACGATCGAAATCTAGTATGTCTACTCGGTGTTACGAGCAGCATTAGCGTAAACTCTGCATAGTAATGAGTGTGCCTACCGGTCTTCAGCAGTTCCGGAACTTCGTAGTTAAAGGAGGTAATATGCCTCGAAATTTCTGATTTTAAGAGGCGTTTGAGCCCCTTGATCCCGGCCTGAGAGAACTTAAATTTCACGTGGCGGAAGAGGGGCGTTAGAGAAGCTCCCCTGAGCCGTTTGCTGGTGTAAGACACACTTTTGATATCCCAGAGTGGAAGCAGGTCGACAACGGCCTGCAGAATTTCTGTTGGGAGAGTCTTAAGGCCAGTTAAGTCGGGAGAGTCGACGCTTATTCTGGAAATTTCGGACGGCGGGGAAATGAGTCGACTGGCTGAGTACAGGAGTTAATCATAGTATCGTAGGAGATAAAAGAAAACTGCTAGTTATGGGGTAGACGTGGCCTGGTTATTGTAGGTTATGTGGTGGCCATCAACTAGTTGCCGGCTCATACCCCCCATCCCCCCTTGTCAATAAGGCCTTTTGGCAGTACTAATTTTCTGCGAGATATAGCATTGATTTGGGCAAAAGGTTAGGGTGGTTAGGGGTTAGGGGGAGGGGGTTAGATGGTGTCTAACCAGCGCAAAATACGATCTGCATTCAGTAGAGGGGAAAGCTCTTAGTAAAATGTATCTAAGTAGTCGTCAGAGTCACTACGTTCCACGTCCAGCATTATGTTTTGTAAACAAGCCTTAGATACACTTGTCCAGGTTTGCTCTTACCGACATCGCTTACAACCTAGTAATTAATAGGAGCGTATAGTAAGGATCACGTAAAAGCTCGGCCTAGACTTGTATCTCCTAGCTACATCGCCTAAGTTAACTGTCGCGAGCTGTTTCCGCCTATTACACGGATCTCAAAGCTAAAGGCAAGGCGACGTCCGGAGTATAGACAGCGTTACTCGCCTTTATAATGTTTAAGAAGCTCCTTTTCCGTCATTAAGCTAAGTAACTACTTTGAATTGCCTGTAGAGGGCGCGGTCCTGATAATAATTACAGTTGCTCCTACTACTTGACTTCTGCTCTAATCGGTAATCCTATCCTAGATCGAGTCAATCAATAGTACTAAATTGACTTTAGGGGGGCTTTCTTGCCTTAAGTAGCTACTACTAGTACTTAATCGCTTTTGTCCTTGGCCATCGCCTCTTAATTTTGAACGTAGAAACATTACTGCCTAAAGCTAAGATCAAGGGTTCTTGGTCTTCCTAATCCCTGCCTTCTTGACTTTTATATCGAGCTTGACGTGTAGATAGCTGTGGTATAGAGCAGCCGGGCAGAACGTCTTTTGCACCGCCTCTTGCAAAATGACCGAAATTCGAGATCTCAAGCAGTCGATATAGGACGCTGCGTCTTTACAAATAAGAAGGCCGTGTTTGGTCACTGTTCTCTCGATTTCCAGGTATATGCTGATGTCTAAGCTACGAGTGTTATTGATGGTGTGCCGCACCATTTTCTCGTTAAGGTGCATTAAGGTTTTAAGCTTACGTCCGAAACTGCGGCCCACCAGAAGAGGGCGGGCCAAGCAGCTCATAAGGGATGGGTGCTGTGACCGATCTAAGTCTTGACTACCAGATTTCTGTTATAACTTTGCGCTTCAAGTGTTTGGCATAGTTGTAACTGATATTGAAGATAGCTCTACTTAAAAAAGATGAGTGATGTTGCAGAGTGTTCTAATCAAGAACGTTATTGATCTCTATATCCCATTACAACTGGAAAGGACTCTATATAACGTGCCTTAGCAAAACCAAAAAATAATACAGTAGCATTATTCAAAGGAATAGGATACGGTAGCCAAGAGTTAGCTTTAACAAAACTCTCTTTAAAAATAAGTCATTACATATTATAATGTCTCTTAACAACGTACACGAGGAACGACAGTTACTTGCGTGTTTGTAATACCTCTGTAATACTAACAAACTAGACGAAGAGGTAGAAACATCTTGAGAATAAAATCACTACTACACGTAGGTACTTTGTTCTATTACGCCTGTATAGATCTCTCGTACTTCTATATCTGGTTTATCCTTAAGCCCGGCATACCTACTTATATTAGATACCTTTATACGCTTTAAGTACCTTAGTAAACTTTTTATAGTACTTCTCTATAGTAGACTCTAGGTTTTTAGAAATTCCTCTTCTATTAGGTAATGTTAGTATTAATTAGATCAGATAGGGTACCCTTACAAATTGATAGAGAGCTAAAGTGTAGTTAAGGCAGTAAGTATAGGGCGTTAAAGCTCTTTATCCTTTTTGCCGTCAATATGTAAAGCTATCAGAATTTGACGTGACATTATTAAAGCGAAGTTTAGTGTAAGTCGAAGGTCAAGAGAGACTGGTCGATGATCCTGGACCAACAGACCCACAGTGTTGCGGGCCTCGGCGTCTCCTACCGCTTACACCCCGTCATTAGTCCCTATATTCATCGTCCCCTGCAAATGAATTCTTTGTAAGAGCATACTATATATGGCTGCGTCACGTGGTACGAGCCCTCCTTTCACTAGCTAAGAGTGCAAACGCTTTGCCGTCAAGATTACCTCTAGCGTAGAGCTGCTGTTAGGGGGCATAGTTCTAAAGCGGCCCCTTACCGCGTAAGAACATGCTTGTGCCCGTGTCTAACCGAAGCCCGCCACTATTAACAAGGTCATCCTTAATAATATTAACCCCTACTCTATTCTAGCGCAAATTAATCTCTACTTTACTCTAGTTCTAGGTAAATATATCGTGTTTAAATTAGACGAGAATAGGCATATCGACGCTTTAAAGAATTACACGATTACCTGATAACTTCTGCTAAATACCCTCTATTAAAGAATGAACTCGGGTATCTTCTTAACTTAGACGCGCTCCGTACTTATCTACTCGGATTTACTAAGTTTGACCTTACTTAAAGGCGGAAATCTAGAACTAGAGGATGTCTTAATAGTGTTAGATAGAACGTAGTTAAGAGACATTAAAGTCCTCTACTACCTTAACTCTAAATACATGTTAGTCTACTTACTATTTAGTAGCCGCCTAGAACAAGCTTAGAGTCTTAACTAGCCGAGTTTTTAATACCTTATACAGTAAGAGATGTGCTTATAACACTACAAAAACACGTTAGAATAGAGTACGAGTTTCGTAACTAAGTAACACGGCTAATTTAGGTACTTAATTATCGTCCCGGATAGACAGGAGGGGTATTAGCTTACCGTAAACCCCTGTTTAATTCCTAGGCTCTACATAATTGCCGCTCTAACCGATCTAAATCACTTAGTAGCTACTATATATTAAAGAAGTTAATAGAGTAATGTTATATTTATACTACTCCTATATAGTAACGGACGAGGACTATAGTCTTGTTAAGAGATTTAAAGCTTAATGTCTGTAGTCGATTAGAGTAACCTTTGTCTACTCCTTTTTAGAATCCTCCTTATCCTCTAAGTTTACCTAGTATCCTCTATCCTTAACTCCTTGTTCCCCGGCTAATGTGTCTCGGTAAGGATGATTAGGGAGGAGGCTCTTGTACTAAGTACTAATGCTAGGTAAGCTCTGATCGTAGATTACATTCTAGCTAGTGTTGTCTAAGCTATTCTCGT